CCTCATCTTTCTTCCCCAGATCGACTGGTGGGTTAGAACTGCTGACCTTACAGTTAGCAGCCCACCGCGTAACCCACTATGCAGGCAGTCCTATGAAGCCAACAGTAACACCTGTGAGGAATGTGCTTCTCAGTATATGAGCCCCAAAGGGCAATATTTGCCCAAGTAAGGATGAAAACAAACAAACAAACTCACTGCCATCCAGTCAATATTGACTCTTCATGACCCTTCAGGACAGAGTAGAACCGTCTCTGTGGGTTCTCAAGACTGCAACTCTTTACGGAAGCAGAACCTTTACCTTCCTCCCGAGGAACAGCTGGTGGTTTCAAACTGCTGACCTTGTGGTTAGCAGCCCCCACTAAGCCACCAGTGCTACCTGAGAGGGCAGGAAGGGGCAGAGAAACCGGGAACAGAAACAGGAACCCAGAGTTGAAATGGGAAGAGTGTTGACACACTGTGGGGCTAGCCACACCAATGTCAAGGACTAGTCTGCGTATGAATTATTGAATGGGAAACTAATTCACTATGTAAACTTTGAACGAATCAAGGAAAGCACAATAAAACGTTCTGTGTTTTTGTTTTGTTTAAAAAAAGCAGCAGCAGCTCATGCTTGAAATAGGATTCAAATTCCAAAATGAGTGGCTGCCTTTCATTTCTAAAGTGCACAGAAATGATAGGAAATACAGAATCTGATGACCATAAACCTGTATCCTGCAAAGACATCAACCAATGAATGAGTCCCATCCACAAAACTTACTCTATATCATCAGCACTTGCCAAATATATTATTTTGACTCAGGTGTGTCTGATCCAAGTTACGGTGTTTTCAGTCGCCTCAGATGTGTGTGAAAGTTGGACACTGAATAAGGAAGACCGGAGAAGAATCTATGCATTCGAATTATGGCTCTGGTAAAGAAGATAAAAGAAAGTACCATGGACTGCCAAGAGAATGAACAAAACAAATCTATCTTGGACGAAGTACAGCCAGAATGTTCCTCAGAGGTGAGGATGGTGATATTTGGTCTCACGTACTTTGGACACGTTGTCAGGAAAAGCCAGTCCCTGGAGAGAGACATCGTGCTTCGTAAACAGTGAGGTAGTGAGAAAGTGGAAACCCTCCACAAACGAGACTGACAGCCCAACAGTGGATTCAAACCTAACAACTCAGCAACTGCAACTGGGAGGCTCAAGCCTGGGAGGTGTTGCGGTCAAGTACAGGGTTGCTATGAGCCGGAACAGCAGGGCAGAAAAACAAGAGGAGTGCCCCAGCCCGCCCCCACCCCCACCCCAAATCATGAGGAATGAGTAAATAGAACAATCTAGGAGAAACACCTAAAGGGGTTTCTTCCAAATGTGTCATTAAGTTTTCATGTACATTTTTCCACCAGGACAAAGTTTCTTTGCGTTATTTGTAAATTTAAAAAGCAAAAACCAAACATTATGCGCTTAAGAAATCTATTCCGTGATTGCACAGTCAGGTAAATTCCAACTCATAGCGATCCTCTGTTGCTGTTAGGTGCCATCGAGTTGGCTGTTAGGTGCCACAGTGATCCTGTGCACAACAGAAGGAAACACTGTGTGGTCCGGTGCCATCCGTACCCTCTGTTCCTCTGCCCCAGCC